TTTCAAAGAACCAGCTTTTAGTTTTGTCAATTTTTCCATGGTTTCTTTTGTTTCAATTTCGTTGATTTCCGCTCTAATTTTAATTATTTCTTGCCTTCTGCTACCTTTGCTGTTGTATTGCTCTTCCTTTTCTAGGGTTTTGAGATGAAGTGTGAGCTCATTTATTTGTTGGTTTTTTCTTTTTTTGAGGAATGAACTCCAGGCAATTAATTTCCCTCTTAAAACTGCTTTCATTGTGTCCCATAGATTCCGATATGTTGTGTCTGTATTTTCATTTATCTCTAAGAATTTTTTGATTTCCTCCTTTATGTCTTCTGTAACCCATTGATCATTCAGTAACATATTGTTCATTTTCCAGGTGATGCAGGATTTTTCCTTCCTTCTTTTATCATTGATTTCCAGTTTCATTCCATTATGATCAGATAAGATGCATGGTATTAACTCCACACCCTTATATTTACTAAGAGTTGCCCTATGCATAATATATGGTCTATCTTTGAGAAGGATCCATGTGCTGCTGAGAAGAACGTATACCCTCTTGATGATAGTTGATATATTCTATATATGTCAGTTAAGTCTAGGTTATTGATTGTGTTATTGAGTTCTATAGTTTCTTTATTCAGCTTTTGTTTGGAGGATCTGTCCAATGGTGAGAGCCGTGTGTTGAAGTCACCCATAATTATTGTGTTGTGGTCTATTTTGTTCTTGAACTTGAGGAGAGTTTGTTTTATGAACGTTGCAGCACCATTATTTGGTGATAATTGTTATGTCTTGTTGGTGAATGCTTCCTTTTAACAGTATATAGTGTCCTTCTTTATCCCTTTTGATTAACTTAGGTTTGAAGTTGATTTTATTCGATATGAGTATGGCCACTCCTGCTTGCTTCCGAGGACCATATGAATGGTATGATTTTTCCCAACCTTTCACCTTCTGCCTGTGCATGTCTTTTCCTGTCAGATGAGTCTCCTGAAGGCAGCATATTGTTGGGTCTGTTTTATTAATCCAAGTTACTAGTCTATGTCGCTTGATTGGTGAGTTTAAGCCATTAACGTTTAGGGTTACTATTGATATATAGTTTGTACTTCCAGTCATGTTTATTTATTTATTTATTTTATTTATTTTAATTTGGCTTGTTTTTCCTCTTTGGTTATTTTTCCCGCCTTTACTGAGATACCTCCCACTGTTAGTTTTGGGTGCTGTTTTTCGTTTCCTCTTCTTGTAGTGTTTTGCTCAAAATGCTTTGCAGTGCTGGTTTTCTGGCTGCGAATTCTTTTAACTTTTGTTTATCATGAAATATTTTAATTTCATTGTCAAACCTGAAGCTTAATTTTGCTGGATACAATATTCTTGGTTGGAATCCATTATTTTTCAGTGTTTGAAATACGTTGTTCCAGAATCTTCTCGCTTTCAACGTCTGTGATGAAAAATTAGCTGTCAACCTAATTGGTTTACCCCTGAATGTAATCTGCCCTCTTACTCTTGTAGCTTTTAATATTCTCTCCTTCTTCTGTATGTTGGATATCTTCATAATAATGTATTTTGGAGTTGGTCTATTATGGTTTTGTATGTTTGGGGTCCTGTAGGCTTCCAGAATTTGGCAGTCCATTCTATCTTTCATTTCTGGAAGGTTTTCTAAGATTATTTCATTCAATGGATTGTTCATTCCTTTGGTTTGGACCTCTATACCTTCTTCTATCCAATGACTCTTAAGTTTGTTTTTTTTTATGACATCCCATGTCTCTTGGATGTTTTGCGCGTGGTTTCTTACCAGCCTTTCTGCATTGGCTATAGTCTTTTCGAGTTGATAAACTTTGTCTTCATTATCTGATGTTCTGACTTCTATTTGATCTAGTCTATTTGTAATATTCTCATTTGAGTTTTTGATTTGGTTTATGGTTTCCTGCATTTCTATGATTACTGTTTGATTTTTTTTTTTAAATCTCTATCTCCTGGTAGAGTTCATGTTTTGCTATCTGAATCTGCTTATGCAATTCATTTTCAAAGTATTCTTTCATTGTTTGGACTTGCTGACTAATGACTTCTTTAAGATTCCATTCCATCTGAGTCAGGTATGCCTTGAGTTCTTTCTCTGTCCATTTTTCTGATGCCTCTAGGTTCTCCTGTAAATTTAAGTTATCCTGCATTGTTTGTAATCCTTTTTTCCCTTGTTTTTTCATGGTGCTCACATTACTTTCTAACTCTGTTTGACTGCTGTGTTTCTGTTTTCTCCTATAAATTTGTTTTGGTTTTTATAGCTCCAAGATCTCTCCTTTGTGTTGGGAGACAATGTTTAGAGATGTTGGATTTAATTGTGATTTAAGGTAAATTCATTAGTTTCATTAAAGGCCTACAGATTTTGATGGCATATATAGAATTGAGGTTTGAACTTAGAATTTTATGTTAAGGTCGGGTGATTTGATAGTATGGAGGTTAGTATATGTTAGCTTCTTTGGGGGGTTGCTCAAATGCAGGCGGATATTAATAAGAGAATAGACAGGAGTACTTGGGGGTAGTTAAGGGCTTAGGCGGACTATAGACCGACTCGTAGTATTCATCTATTTGCATTTAGTAAATTATACATAATTGGGGTGGTCATGCTTAAGAGGGAAGATAGGGAAAAGGTAAGGAAGCAAACCAAGAAAGAGATGCACTCTATTCGCCGCCATCTTCCCATCCCCCCATGAATCTTATGCAGGGCGGACGTGCGTGCACAGTAAGGTGATGACCTGACCTTTACTATGATTGGCCTTGGGAGCTTCCTGGTTTAAGATAACTGACTCTCACTTTCTATATAAGCTAGAACCAGCTTGCAGTAAAGTGCTTCATCTTTGTCACTGCTATCTGTGTGTGTGCATTTTAATCTCCGACGACGAACCTTGGCCTTTCATTGGTGCCGAAACTCGGGAGAGGGTTAAAACCCACTTTTGGGTCTCTCTTCCTTCTGAAGTGCCACTCACCAGACGACCTGATCTCTTGGTCGCTCCGAGTGTTGTGGTCACTTTCCTTTCACTTTGTATCATTCAGATTTGCTTCCTTCATATTGAATTATTTCTCAGTTAACTTTTCTCCTTAAGTTCAAGTTGTAGTATTTGCTAATATGTCCCTGGGCTGATGCATATTGAGGAAGCTTGTGTTATGTGCTTACTCCTAAACTGGTCCGGAGGAAACTGGGCTTTTATAGGCCAGACCTGGTTTATCTATCTGTCTGCCATTCCCTTTCCCAGTCAGGGAGTAAAGGTCAAATGGCAAATGCTAAGAGTAGGGAATTGGGTAGATACCTATCTATCCAAGGAAAATTGGGGTGCTCTTACTCAAAGAAAATGAAATGACTTCTGGTCAGGCAAAAATAACAGCTGTTTACTGAAGAGAAGATCAAATTAATCTGGACTAAATCCTCTCTAACTGATCCACGAACATATTATCACCTTAAAGGCTTTGAGTTTAAATATAAAAACAAATAATCTCATCTGGCAGGGGATAAGAACATTCCCAGAAACAGTTTTCTGTTAAGCTTTGCTAATAATGTTCATGGGACATACTTGCTAAATTATCTTTCTTTTAATCTGTACTTGGAATCACAAATATTTGAAACTAATAAAATGAGATTTTCAGCTGACTTAGATGAGTTTTGATTTCTTGTAATTGTTCTCCACCTGAAAAGTCAGACTTTCTTTAATTTATAGAAAGAAGATACCACCCCAGCATGCAGACTTATTCATAAGTCAGCATATTTATTGACTTGCTAACTGAACCGTTTCAGATGGGGACTGCTGGAAGAAATGAGCAAATTAAAAACAAAACAAAACAAAAAAAACCCATGAAATCACCAGACCATTTTTCTGGATTTCTCTCCCTCCCTCCCTCTCTCCCTCCTTTCCTTCCTTCCCTCCCTCCCTCCCCACCCCTCTCTCTCCCTGGTACAGTTTTACCTGTTTTAGGAGTACTTACATCCAATGAGATTGAGGAAGAAAGGAAAGTAGCTGAAGCTCCTAACTGGATGGATTAAGTAAGGAATATAGCATTAGTGACAACAGTTTTGATTTGAAAAATGCTCCTTTGTTTAAGTAAGTCTGAAGTCTGACTCTTATTCCAATTATAGAGTTGTATTCTTCATCTGTTAGGAGTGCTTTTACAACGGATTCACATGTCTGTAGACAATTAAATAGGAACTCCATAGATATATCAGGCAGATGACTGGAGACTGGGAGTCTGAAAGTAATTTTAGCCAAATGAATTTTTAGAAACAACTAGGTTTTAATAAATGCAGACACTACCACAACAAGTTAATTACGATAGCCTTTGTAACAAAAGTAGTTGGTAATTGAGGATCTTGGCCTTTGATTTTTATCTTTTTTAAAATGACAATCCCATCAGTGTCAGTTTGTTTTGGTGCTGGATATTTTTTTTGTCATTGTTTAAAATTATTCCTCTCCTTTCATGTCTTTACTGTCTCCTCCATTTACTTTAGATATAAACTATGAGACACTTATTTTAGATGACCAATCTATCAGCAAAGAGAAAGACCCAGACTGACACAAAATAACCCATAATGGGAATCTGATGTATACATTACAATGAGTATAATATATGTATACCTTTTCAAACAACCTTCAAAGATGAAATTATTTGATGTTTGTGGGGAAGGATGTATGGTGTGTTTTTTTAGGTGAGTCAGTATTTATTGTAAATTAGAAATTATTCCATATTTAAATTTGACTTTATTAGAATTAGAATGCCTGTTCATTATGGAATAGTGCCTGTTTGTAAATTATTCCTCTTCCAGAGGATAAATTTGTCTGTATTAAGATGAGAAACTGAACCGTTTCAGAGGCTTAGTATTTTAGAGTTAAGACTGTCAGTTCTAAAGCTGATGGATGCTTTCTTTTTCAAGTTGTCTTGTGAATTAACTAAGTTTAATGTTCATTTTGTCATTTTCTTTAGTCCAATCAGAAAATTAAGATGTTTTTAACTTAGTTGTCTTTTTTTTTTACTTTCTTCAGTTTATCTAGAAACCTGTTTGGAGGTTATGGCTGATAAGGCCAATCCTGGAACCCTCACTGACAATTCAGAAAGACTCTTCTCCTTTGGAGTAATAGCAGATATTCAGTATGCCGACTTAGAAGATGGATACAATTTCCAAGGAAGCCGGCGGAGGTACTACAGACATAGTCTCGTTCACTTACAGGGTGCCATTGAAGACTGGAATAAAGAAAGCAGCATGCCCTGTTGTGTCCTGCAGCTTGGAGACATTATCGATGGCTATAACGCACAGTATAAAACATCAGAAAAGTCCCTGGAAGTTGTTATGAACACATTCAAAATGCTTAAAGTCCCAGTTCATCATACATGGGGAAATCATGAATTCTACAACTTCAATAGAGATTATTTAACACGCTCTAAACTTAACACAAGGTTTCTAGAAGACCGGATTGTAGATCATCCTGAGACCATACCCTCAGAGAATTATTATGCTTACCACTTTGTACCATTCCCTAAATTTCGGTTCATTTTACTCGATGCTTATGACTTGAGTGTCTTAGGCGTGGATCAGTCTTCTCCAAAATACCAGCAGTGTATGAAGATACTGAGGGAGCACAATCCAAATACGGAATTGAATAGTCCTCAAGGTGAATTATTCCTTTGAGCTGAGAATCTAATACATTGTCTTTAAATTCTTCAGCTACCTTTTATTCAGCAGGAAGATGGATGATTAAGGTAAAAGTATATTGTCGCTATTGTTCAGGGTCAGGATTTCTCCCAAGCTTTGATGTCACATGGATTGGTTACAACATGATCGAAGCTTCACTGTTTTAACAGATATTTGAATGCCCATTCTAGGCAGATCACTTTGCAAAATGTCTTTTTTAAATGGATGAAATCAAGGGAATTGGGGTAGGAGGTGGGCAGGACAAACAATCATGTATTAGTTTTCCTTCATTGTTACAAAGTACCTGATGTAATCATCTTATAAAGGGGAAAGGTTTATTTTGGTCCATGCCTTCAGAGAGTTCATCCCATAGTCACTTGGCCTTGTTGCTTTGGGGCCTGTGGCAAGGCAGCACTTTATGGCAGGGAGCATAAGAAAAAGAAGAAGCAAAGAGAAAGAAGCAGGTCTGATACCCCAGTATTCCTATCAAGGGCACCCCCCCCCCCCGCCCCGACCTAACTCCCTCCCACTAGAACCCACTTCTTAAAGGTTTCACCACCTCCCAGTAATGCTGTGAGCTGGTGGCTAAGACTTTAACACTTGGGTCTTTGGGAAGAAGACATTTCAGATCTAAACTAGAGCCACCAATGAAACCAATAAGATTATTTCCACAAAGTACTACCAAGAAAATAAGAATATGGTGTTATAGAAAAGGACTAGGAGTACTATTTTAGATTAGATGATCCAAGGATAGAAACATTTAAGCTAATATCTATAGGACAGGAAGGAGTTATACTTGGAAGAACAAGGGTAGGGAGCTAGTAGAGGGAAAGCAGATGTGAAGGCATTAAATGGAATAAGTGGCAGTATTGAGTAACCCAGGAAGGGGCCAGTGAGGTGTGAGATAATTTTGGAAAGTAAACAGGCACAGGAGTGTGTAGTGGGGTCAGTGGACAGGGAAAGGAGGTTCTGTTTTCTTCCTAGTGTAATGGAAAGCCAGTGAAACTAGCAGAGGAATGTCAAGACTAGGAGTAAGATACAGGAACTATTAATATAGCACTCAAGAATAAATTCTTGTCATTGCCTATTTTAAGTCAATTACTGCTAATAAATATTCCTACAGAAAAAAAACAAGTGTCCCTGCAGTAGGTAAATTTAAAACCCAAATGAGGGAGAAATGACATTTTCTGGGTCTAACTTACTGAATTTATTTAGGACTTTCTGAGCCCCAGTTTGTCCAGTTTAATGGAGGATTCAGCCAAGAACAGCTGAACTGGTTGAACGAAGTTCTTGCGTTCTCTGACACAAACCAAGAAAAGGTGGTGATTGTGAGTAAGTACTTAAATTGTTTATCTGGTTGCAGTAGCATTTTAGAGATTGAAAAGCTAGTGTTTAAAGAATACTAATGATATTTGTGTTCTGATATCCTCTTTCTATAAGATGGGTGCTTAGTCAATGTTTTAAATTAAAATAAAGCCTGAACCTGAGATTAATATTTGCAAATGAGTCAGGAAGGAATTGTAAAATAACAAAAATATATTGCCATATATTAGAGTATGTGAGTTGCCATTTTAGGTTTCAAAGCAGAATTTCCCCAAGTGGGATCAGTTCAAGTATTAATTTTTAAATGAGAAATTCATTTCAGGTCCCGTTTCATATTTTAGCCTTGGGAGCCCTGGCTCCTAATTTCTATAAAATAGAAATTACATTTCTATTTTTAACATGTTGATCTTTTAGATGTAGTTAAAAACATGTAGATGGTACGGGGATGTTTGTGCTGCCATTTGGTTGTCAAGCATCAAAGTTTGGAAAAGATGAAGTTCCCTCACAGGTTATGGCTGTGACACACCACCATTTGGCTCAGTAATAATTAGTCTCAGAAACTGCAGTACTTGACTTGCATCTACTCTTTTGTTCTTCCACTGCTAGGCTAAGAGTATGGGAGCTGGAAGAGACCTACAGATCGTGTTGCCAAACCCTTTAATTTTAAAGATATACTGAAGCCTCAAGAGATGAAATTACGTAGCTAAAGTCACATAGCTGCTGAAAGAATTGAGACTTTTTAAAAATCCCAGTCCCCTTTCCCCTGTCTCATATTCTTTTCATTTCTTTTTATTGATAGCAGTGCACCTACATCTGTAGTCTCTTAAATTTCTTCACCATTGCTGTAAGTTTAGAAACTGGTTAAGTAAACATTTAACAACTGAGCACCTTAGGCTCTCTTTAGTTAAGTTTAGTGGAAATTTCCTTTTGTTTTTATGTGCTTTTAAATTTATTGTGGCTACTCAGAAGTTATTTTGAGTTTTGGCCATTCACTTGGAAGGACAGAATTGCCATTAGCTGAGATGGGAGACACTGCAGGACAAGGAGGTTTGGGTGGAGAGGGCCAGGTGCCGGTTTGGAACCACTGTTTGAGATGTCTATTAGATATAATATGCCTGTCATACATTAGTGAACATACTGAGTGGGTAATTTAGACCTCAGAGTCTGAAATTCAGCACAGAGGCTTAAGCTATCTATCATAAACGTGAGAGTTGAAAGAATATAGATGATTTTTAAAGCTATATAAATCACTGAAAGATCACCAATGCATAGGTATAGATAAAGAAGTTCAAGGACCAAGCATTCGGACACTCCTGACAGGATACTGGGGAACTGAGTACTTCTAGGAGAAGGGGGCAACTAATTGTGTAATTTGATAGGTAAGTCAGTGTGGCTTCTACACAGCCTCTTTGGCCTCTTAGACCTTAACACAGTTACTGTGTGTGTGGATGGGCATGTGCTCGCACCTATGTGTTCTTAACTGCTTTAGGGCTCTGTTACCCTCACCCCCTTTTACTTGTATTATAAGTACATAATAAGCAAAAGCATGTTTAAATTTCAGAATAAAAATGAACAGTAGCAGGACAAAGAAAAGATTTACTGGGAAGAAGCAGAGATCAATGAGCCATGATATCTGAACTTCAAAGTGAAACTGTGGCCTGATTGTATGTGTGGTCTAGACTTACAGATGTGTTGACATCAGGAATTCAAATTCTCCTGGCTCTACTTCCACATATCTCCTGTGGGGCCCGATATAATCCTCCCTGCTTTAATCAGTTTTCTTATCTGTGAATTAGGTATGGCCACCTGATCTCATGGGGGTGTTCAAAGTCTTGTGATTCAGTTCTGTGGCATTGTTTATATAAATGACACATAATCCATAGTCAGTCCCTAAACTGTTCTTTTATTAGTACTATATCTTTCTGTATATATAACATTCGTGTTTAAGAAAATCAATAAAATTGAATTCCTGCACAGCATCTGCCTGATTTCTGGCTGCTTTTGCAGACTTCCTTGGCATAGGTGCCCTTGATCTTCCTTGGTGTTTGTGCAACTTGAGACTGTGTATAGGCCTCAGTGATCTCAAGATTTTGCCTGTTCAGTAGGTTTTCCCACCTCACCCTCCTTTCTATGCTCCAGAGATCCAGGTGTTGATAGCCTACTACTTCACATATGTGGACTTTCTCTGGTCTCAGTCTATTTGGATGAGGTAGCAATACACTTTTTTTTTTTTTTGTAAGTACTATTATTTTTTAATGTAAAACATTTCTTAATTGGCTCATAACTTTTTTTTTTTTTTTTTAAACTAACAGGCCATCTTCCCATTTACCCAGAGGCCTCCGACAGTGTGTGCTTGGCCTGGAACTACAGAGATGCTCTGGCAGTCATCTGGTCTCACAAGTGTGTGGTGTGTTTCTTTGCTGGTCATACTCATGATGGTGGCTACTGTGAGGATCATTTTGGTGTGCACCATGTCAACCTAGAAGGAGTTATTGAAACAGCTCCAGTCAGCCAAGCCTTTGGCACAGTTCATGTCTATCCTGACAAAATGGTGTTGAAAGGGAGAGGCAGAGTTCCAGACCGAATTATGAATTATAAGAAGGAAAAAGCCCTCAACTTTTAGTCTGACTTGTTTTATTTGCCTTTGAAGGAAGAGAGTGACTTTGCTTGTATTTGTCCCTACTATACAAAAAGGAAAACAAAATAAAAATTCTCAATCCCATTGTTCTGTATTCTGCTTACATAACAAAATGTATACTTGGCTTCAGTGTGTTAGTTGATAAAATATTCAGAAGTGTATTTTTGGATATTTCTAGTGCCGAAAGTCAGAAACAGAATAAACCAGGGAGGGGCTGATGGTGGGGACATCTGGTACTGATAAGGGACTTTATTTGACCTTACTGTATTTTTAAATTCATTTTACAAGGTGAGTATATTTATGTGTTAACTACAGAACTTAAAATTTATAATAAAAATAAATAAAGCTCAGGATAACTTTTCCTTTCACCTTGCAGTGTTAGTGAACTCTGGACAGTTTTAGCTCAGAATACCTATATTTGGACTTTATAGGCTTGTAATCCTGTTTTGTGAACAAAGCCCCTTTGGACATTATTTTACAGTTGGTATGGCATCTCCATCCCCAAGAGGGGTGTACAGAGAAGTCCTGGGGCCCTTTTATGATTCTAACCAAAGCAAGGCCAAGTGCCAGTGCTTCTGTGTCTCACCCACTAGTACTCAGTGAGGCCACACTCGGGCGGGTCAGTCGATTCACCCTTACTTAGGCCTTTCTGAACAAACGGGCAATGTTTGAATCAGTTGTGACAAGGCTTACTTGCAGAAACCCGTACTAGATGGAAAATGGAAACTGTTCCAAGTATAGAAAAGGTTTGAGGACCCAAAACAAAAGAAATACTAGTCAACTGTTACTGTGTGCTTATTGAGTACCTAGGTACTATAGTACTGTAGAGGTGTATTTGCTTTCTACAACTTCTATTACAAATTCCTACACACTTGGTGACTTACCACATGCATTTGTTCTCTGAAGTTCTGGAGGTCAGAAGTCTACAATAATTTTCACCAGAAGTCAAGGTATTGGCTAGCTACATCCCCTCAGGAGACTCTGGGCAGAATTTTTTTTCCAGTCTCAAGCAGCACCTTTGAATTCCTTGACTCATGGCCCCTTCCTCTACCTTCAAAGCAAATTTCTGGTTGTCACATCACCTTCTTCTGTGTAATCACATCTCTCTGCCATAAGAACATTTATGATTACACTTAAGGCCCATCTGGATCTGGATAATACAGGTAATCTCCCCCTCTCAGTATCTTCACATATTACTTTGCAATACAAGCTAACAGGTTCCAGGAATTTGGACCTAGATGTCTTTTGAGGCTTGTTATTCAGCTTGCCACACAGGTGACTATAATGTGCTCTTGTATTCACTGACCTTTATTGGGAGTGAAAGGCATCCATAAATACGAATATGTGAAACTGGTTGTCATATAAAGAAAAGACTAGGAATGTGGAGGAAAAATACTAATTTTGTTTGAAGGGATTAGAAATGTCATGAAAAAAGGAAGAAAAATGGTTTGAAAAAGTGGGAAAGAATATAAGCAGAGGCATCAAAAGTTGAGTTTAGAAGAGGCAAGTAATGCTATGGGGACTCACCCATAGGTGCTCAGGGGTTTGGTAAGAAATAAAGGAGGACAGGCCAGGCTATATTGTGAAGACCCTTGAATGATGAGCCAAGAATGAAAATTTACCTCTTGTTGGACTCAGTGAAGGGTTATTGGGTTTCTGAGCTGAGAAAAACATGATTACATCTGTTTGTCAGTAAAAAAAAAAAAAAAAAAAAAAAATGAGAAGCTGGTATATAAGAGGGACAATGGGAAGAAGACAGAGGTTTGGGAAGACAGATTTTTTAAATTTTAATTTGTTATATATATGACAGCAGAATGCATTACAATTTATATTGCACATATAGAGCACAATTTTTCATATCTCTGGTTGTACACAAAGTAGAGTCACATCCTTCTTGTCTTCTTACATGTACTTAGGATAATGACGACCATCACATTCTTCATCTTTCCTACCCCTATGTCCTCTCCTTCCCCTTTCCCCCTTCACTCTATCTAGAGTTCATTTAATATCCCCCCCACCCCTGCCATGCCTGCAGCATATTATGGATCTGCCTCCTTAAATCAGAGAAATCACTCAGCATTTGTTTTTTTGGGGGGGGGATTGGCTAGTTTCACTTAGCATTATATTCTCCAACTCCATCCATCTACCTGTAAATGCCATGATTTTATTCTCTTAATGCTGAATTAAAAATAATTCCTAAATTCAGTAGGAAAATAGAGCTTAAAAATGAGTTCACTAATACAGGCTCTTTTTTCAAAAGAGAGCACTCCACCAAAAGTTAATGTTGGGGCTTTCTTTCTTTCTTTTTCTTTTTTTTTCCCCAGTACTGGGGATTGAACCCAGGACCTCCTGCAGAGTAGATAAATGCTGTACTTCTGAGCTACATCCCCAGCCCTTTCTCCTTTTCATTTTGAGACAGGTTCTCACTAAATTGCCCAGGCTGGCCTTGAACTTGCATTATTCCTGCCCGGCCTCTGGAATAGTTGGGATTACTGGTGTTCATCTGGCTAAATTATTGTCTTTTATGTACTTAATTTGAGATGCAAACATTACTATGAATATTTGCAGAATTCATAGTCTAATAAGGGAAATGCAAATGCTATGAAACTATATCTTGGATATTGCTAAGCACAGGAATCAAGCATAACTTGGAGTAGCAGGACATACAGAGAGTTTACGAAGAGTCCATTCCTTTGTGTGTGGCTTTAATAGCTTATTTGAAAGGAGGTATAAAAGTCATAAATAACATGTAAGCTAAATAGACACTGGAAAAAAACCCAATGTATTATATGCATTTTATTGACCTTTAAAATAAATTACACTTTTACAATTTAGCTGCTTTAATACCAACTTGATTAATTTTCGTTGATGAAGAATTTCTGTTTAGTAGCCACTGTGTCAAAAACATCATGACCCCTCCCCCCGCAAAAAATTGCCTACCTCATTTAACAGATATTTATAGAATACTTACTGTTGTATTTAAGACTATAAAAAGAAAAACTATCAGATTCATTTTTGTTTTCCTGACAAGTAGGTACTAATTCTTCCCACTAATTCTTTTTGAGTAAAGTATTTCCTAAATCTCATGAAACTGAGTATCTGACTAATCAGATGAAATCCAAATTTGATGCTAGCATAAGCTAAAAAGTTGCCATCCAGATATTCATAGCACTGTCCAAATGAAATGCAAGGTGAACCACATAATTCAACACACTGTATAGACACATTTAAAAAAGTAAAATTAACATTTTATTTAACCCGATTATCATAAAATATTATCTTTATAACATTAATATAAAAATATTTTACATTCTCTCATTTTGTACAATGTCTTTAAAATCTACTGTGTACTTTACACTTGGATACTAAAGTTTTGTTGGGAATGCTTGATCTGCATTTAGATATCAAATTCAGATCAAATTGATAGTTGAAAAAGATTCACATGCCCAAGTTGATCTAAAACCTCTTCACAGTTTTCCAATAATTGGATGTCAATTTTTAAATTAAAAGTAGAAAAATATTAGAGATTTACTTTCTTGGTCACCCTAGCTGCATCTGAAATGCTCAGTAGCAACATGTGACTAGTGGCTGCTGTGTTGGGAGAGTGTAGCTCTAAAATCCTCTCCTTGAGGTTACTTTGAATATTCCTTTTAAAAAGTAGTATAAATTTTTCATTTAGAATAATGAGTAATTATGAATAATTAATATCCTGCTTTTTTTCTTGATTGGTCCCAAATTCCTTTTTAATCCTCATTCCTTTTCTTTTCAAGTTATGCCTGTTCATTGGCTTCTTGAGTCCTCATTTATTTCGTACCACTGTACCAGTTTACTATCCTGTGATTAGTTCAGGGCTATAGGCCTCTCTTAAACTACCTCTCCTTCAGTGTATTACCCAAACTCTGCTCCCCTCTATTTTACTCATGGATAGCCCTTTGTAATCCATAAATACTTAATATTTTCATAGTGCTCTCATATTATCTAGTTTGATGCTAGCAACTGTATAAGTAGGGCCCCATCACATATTAATTCTATTTTATAGATAAGGAGAAATGTCCAATATATATTTGCCCAAGTCACTTAGATACTGAATTTACTTTATTATTTTTGGAAGGATGGAATCTTGCTGTGTTGCCTAGGCTGGCCTCAAACTCCTGGCCTCAAGTAATCCTCCTGCCTCAGCTTCCTGAGTAGTGGGGACCACAAGCATGCATCATGGTGCCTGGAAGAACTCATGGTTCATAACTTTTGTTTTAGTGCCTTTTCATTATATTATGGAAAAATACCCTTTTCAAAAGGCATCTGGAGAATCCCCATTCTTACTATTTCATCCAATCTTACATTGTACTGTAAGCAATCTTAGAAAATTCTTAAAGACTTTTTAAACATCATCTTCAGTATTAGCACAAATTACCTGAAATAAACTGGGAAATTGTCCTGTTCCCCCAATGTTTATAAAATAAAGTTGAAAATTCTCATTTAAAATTTCTCATTTAAAATACAATTCTTGGATTCATTTAAAATACTGTCTTGCAGTGTGTTGGCCAGGAAGACCGCATTTCCTTGTTTATATATACATAGACCCAGGAGATAAGTGGGAAAAGAGCAATTGCAGTAGCAACAACCAACTGAATTCTTCCACCAACTGGATTCCTATAAAGACACATAAAATTTTTATTAAAAATTTCAATAAAAATTATACATTCTTTAGGAAACAAGTGGAAGGACTGAATTGGTTAAAGTTACATTTTAATTGGTCTCTTTTCAAATTTAAAAATATAATTCACTCAATGATTTGTAGAGATTCTTTATACTTAATCCAAATCCTTATTTATATATGTTCAAAATACCTTGTTCTTCCACTCAATGGTTTCTTTTGAAGAACATTAATTAATTAGATAATGTTGAAATTGATCTTTTCCTAATGATTTTTATGTCCTGCTTAAGATCTCCAAGGTCCTGAAGATATAATCTTCTCTAGAAAGGTCTTGAACATACTGTTATCTTCTCTAGAAGCTTTATTGTTTTTGCCTCTTTATAACCCAACTGGAATTGATTTTTAGGAAAGTTGGGAGGTAAAAATTGTT